TAAATGATTACATGAGCTCTCTAAATAATATAATCTTTTTGAAAGAAATAGTTATTTTAGTAGGGAAATCAGTCAGTCTAACAAATAAAAACAAATGTATTTATTTTGTGCAGTACAAAAGGAAAATGTGTGAATTTTTTGTTGTAGTCTCACTGAGTGTTTGCAGCCAGTCTATTTTTGTGTGCATAGATTCTTGACCATGCAGCTGTGCTGATCATTCAGTCTTATCTACAGCAATTCTTTTTTAAATTTAATGTGTGTTTTCTCTTGTTGACATTAGTTTTAAGGACTAAAGTTTTCTTCCTGGTTGTGACAAACAGAATCTGTGGTTCATGAAGCATGTCTTCCATGATCTCTGTTGAGTGCTTTGTGTTGTTTCTATACTTAGCCCAAAAAATAAGGAAATTTGTATTTGATAGATCATTTCTGTGRTGTAGGACTGGGCGATCTGGCTGAAATACTTATCATAATATAAGTGTTTCATCTCGTTCAATATCGATAATTATTGATTAGTTTTACACAATGTCGGTCTGACTCTTGCCGACCTTAAAATATCTGAAATCCTGCCAAACTGGTGACAMGACCTTTCATCCACAATTTCCTCTTGAGCTGTTGCATKATTTTCTCATTTCACTCCACGCTGTTCTTTTTATTTTGAAGCAGTTATGAGGTGAAARARGAAGCTGCTGCTTCACGTTACTCCACAGGTTTTTTACTAGCTTACCTTGTTTAGCTGCAGGCTGTTAGCTGTTGGGGCGTCGTACTGACACCTCTTCAGTTTTTAGATGCCTCATTTCAGAGTAACAGCATCCTAAATCAATAATTAATTTTATATTAACTCTACGATGTTGGACRGGTCCAGCTAACTCACGCTGTATCGCTCCAGTGTGCCGACAAGAGGGAGAAAGAAACCCTGGTTTACACATTTCAAAATAAAGCCAGATTGATTTTGTTTTAGCAGGCATTTGTCTGCTTGAAGCTTTTATTTTGAAGGTGAATCTTAGCTTTCCCASTGTTGTTCAGCTACATAAAAGATCCTAGTTTATTTTATCAGAAAGTTGTCAACTGTTTGCGGTTAATAACAAGTACAATTATCGATATCATATCAGACGTGTTTTCTATTCATATTGAACATGCCTTATCGTTACCGAATCATTGCCCAGTTCTACTTTGTAGTAAGAAGGCCTCTTCTTATACAGCGGGTAAAATAAGTATTGAACACATCAACATTTTTCTCAGTAAATATATTACTAG